GATTTCATGGCTGAGGTCGCAAAAAGACGTTACGTGCAGGCGACTATATATTGTACCATTCACCAGGCTATGGGGGCACAGACAGAGGTGGCTCATGGTTTAAGCTCGCATACTGGCCAATGACCCTGATGGCGATCGATACTCGACACAGGAGACGTACGGATTACAACATGGAAGATTAGATCCGACAAAGACCCTCAAGGGCAACGACATCTACGCAACATTCGCCCTTTCGAGCTCGTTAAAAGTTCAACTTCCGCTCCAACACGTCGCGAGCAGTTCGCAGAAGCAATTCGCGATATTCCAGATAAAATAATGACAGAATTAAAGAGAAAGAGGCACACAAAACGTTTGGAATACTTGTCTAACCACAACATGAGCCATGGCGATTTATCCTCTGGTTCGGACTCCAGCTCTGAAACTGGTGCGGCTAGTGCTCAAGAAACGCCCTGTCCTCAATCTGTTCGTTCAGCCGCAGCAGCAGTGAATGAACGGTCTGTTGCTCTAGTGTCTTCTTCCGTCCGTACACAATCCAATAAGTATTTGTTTCAAGTTCTCCCCGCACAAGCGACTTCTCTTCGCATTCAGAACACCGCAAAGCAGAGATCACACCAGCAATTAGAGAATATATTGTATAAGACGCTCAATTGGGTATTCAGCTATCCCGTACGATGGCCCCCACTTTGGAGGGAAATCCAAGTTTGGGTAATGTAATGAAAGACATCTCGAATATCAGACATACAGAGACATTCGTCTGCCGATAAAAACAGATCGAGAATTGAATATCTTTTGAATATGCTATCGGGAGACGGTCACTACTCGACTCACAAAGCTGATTCTTCTCAACGACTTACACATCTTTTCTTGCTCTCCGGGAAGCTGTCACTATTTTTACAGGAAACTCTGATGTAATACTTATGGACTGCACTTATAAAACTAATGCGTTCGATATGCCACTTTTGAGCATGGTTGGTGTGACAGGGATGAACACTACGATTCATGTAGTGCAGAGTTTCATCCGCACTGAGGCTGGTAACGACTACACGTTGGCGCTCACCAAATTGAAGAGGGTTATGGACCGTGAGGAGATTTGGTATCTTCAGGTGATTATAACAGACTGTGATGTCGCTCTGATGAATGCTTTGGAAACTGTTTTTTTTTTTTCGGAGTTCCTGTCATATTGTGTTTGGCATATACTCATGGATGTTAGAAAACTGTGGTGTTGTAATTCCCACGGCAACTCTAGCTACTAGTGTAGGTAGGATAAACCCACAACAATACGTCTACCAGAACGGTAAACGATCGTTGGGCGTGATCTGAAGACCCAGACTCAGCCCTTACACCGGGAC